TCCTCCTCCTCCTCCTCCTCCTCCTCCTCCTCCTCCTCCTCCTCCTCCTCCTCCTCCTCCTCCTCCTCCTCCTCTGTCGCAACACCCTTGTCCTCCTCCTCCCGGAGTGCCCCACCGCGCCCGCGGGCGAGCCTCAGCTGGCCGTGGAGGCCCGCCGGGTTCTCCGCGGTCTGCCTCGGGTTGCGCACCTCTCGCCCGGGTCAGGTCGGGCGTGCCCCCCCCCTACAGGCGGCTGTCGGAATACTCCACGCATTCAAACGTTTCTATATATATATACACACACGTGTCTATATGTAAAAATAAGTGCATATAATCATGCATGCACATATACATACAAACATACACACACATACACACATACATACATACATACATACATACATACATACATACATACATACATACATACATACACACATACACACACATACATACATACAGACATGCATGCATACAAGCATACATACATACAGACAGACAGACAGACCGACAGACAGACAGACCGACGTACGCACATACATACACACATCCATACATACGTACACACATCCATACATACATACATACATACGTTCATGCATATATGCATGCATAGATACAACCATACATACATACATACATGCATACCTACCTACATACCTACCTACCTACCTACCCACACACATACATGCATACATACATACATGCATGCACACATAACATACATGCATGCATACATACATAGATGCATGCATGATTGTATGCATGCATAGTTCCATACATACATACATGCATGCATGCATACATACATACATACATACATACATACATACATACGTACGTACATGCATGCATGCGTGCATGCATGCATGCATGCGTGCATATATATATATATGTAAAACATATATATATATGTCCAGATATATGTATTCAAACCTGGTTCAACAATACTCACAACTTCGTTCCCGCACGATGTTGAGGCTATTGTGAAACATGTCTCCTGTGGAGGACAGGCCCGAAATTAACATGTATTTTAACAATGCTCCGAAAGACTCTAACAATTATCCACAAACCGCCCCCGAACAAATGTTGGGCTACTTTGGACGTTTCCTCCTGTGGAGGGGCAGGCCCGACGTAAGCGCATCTCGGCGGGGCCGGTGGCCCGCGCCGTGACAAAAGGGCAGGGCGAGGACGGACGGGAGGCTCGAGGGGCCCCCGCCCCTCCGAGGAGTGCACCCAACCTTCCCCGACGGCGCAGGAAGACCTCCCGGAAGGCGCGAGGGCTCCCGAGAAGTCCCGCCGCCCTCCGAGAAGGCCTTCTCCTTCTCACTTCCCCCTCTCTCGGGTGCTGCAAGAAGTACCCCTGGCCCAAGGCACCCGCAGGACTCTCGGGGTGGCCCAGACGGCCTCCAGGGCACCCCTCACGAGGCCCAGAGGGCCCCAAGTGCTCCGAAATGGAGCGACAAGCTGGGGGCACCTTGGGCCAAGGGCACTTCTAGCAACATCCGACTCTCGCTCGCCGCCGAATAGAGACCCCGACCGAGCTGCACCGGGAAGCTCTGAAGAGCTGGCAGGCCCGGAAGTCGTGTAACATACTGGCTGCGGCCGTGCTATGGCCCTCGTGGAGGCGTGTGTAAGGCCCTTTCGGAGTGTAGAGACTGCACTGGGGGGCAATCTTGGGTTCCTCGGCAGCCTATTGAGCCCTTGAGGGACGTCGAGTCTCATTTGGGGGGCCGTCTTGTGAACTCTTGGGCCAGATTGGCCGCCCCTTAGCCCGATTTGGCGCCCTCTGGGGGTGTTTAGGTGCAGTATGGGGAGCGTCGTGGGCAGTGCTGCAGAGTCGGCAAGCGGAACGAGCAACAACGGGAAAAAACTTGAGAACTTCCTCATCCTCAGTGACAATCACGTTCACGGAAATCTCTTCCGAAAACATGACGGGTGCGGCCGTGGAACTTCCTTTCCTCGGACTGGCGGCAACAATCACGTTCCCCGAACGCGTTCCGGCAACATGATGGTTGCGGCAGTATTTTGGACCCTCGTAGAGGCCTCTGCAGGGACCTGTCGGGGTGTCGAGATTCATTTGGGGGGACTGTGGGGGCTGCTATGCCGCGTTCAGAATTGGAGGCCTGGAAATGGGCACCAACACCAACACAGGGGGGTTGTCTACACAGGGGGGAGATGATCCTAGATTTAGGTGTTGGTGGTAATATGTCGGTCACCTTGGAAGCCAGAATATTACCATCGCCGAGATCGGGATCTTCTTTCCTCGGTGGAGGCACACCGCCGATGTTGGTGTTGGTGTCAACCTCTGGGCCGCGTTCAGACCCCCTTTGGGGTGTCGAGGCTCGTTTTGGGTGCCCTCTTGGAGTGTGCTGGGGCTCTCTTGTGCGCCTCTTGTGCCGTCTCCGCACGTCGTGGGACGGAGCAGGCGACCAATGGAAAAGCCCTGGCGACGCTTCCCTATTGTCAAGGGCCCCAGGACACACACAAATAAATACACACAAATCCCAGAATTCCCAATGTTCTCCCATATGTTTGGGTTCTGTCTTCCCCCACACTTCCCATATTTTCCCAAATTTTCTGGGAGTCGACGGTTAATTGTGTCTGCGTGTGTTTTCCCCTCCTGGTATTGGAGCTCTGTCGGAGAGCAGTTTGCAGCCTCCTTGGGGCGTCTTGGTTGGCTCGTGGGCAGCATCGAAGCCTTGATGGGCGTGCCGGGGCCGATTCGGGGCCACGTCTGCCTCCTTGGCGTGTCCAAGAGCATTTTGGGGGCCGCCTTGGGGCCTCTTGGGCCATCTCGGGGATCTTCTGGCCCAAATCAATCCAAGCCCTGGTCAGTAAGGCATTGCAAAATCCGGCAAAATCCTACAGGATACTTCGCCCAAACCCAAACCTGGGTCACTGCGCCCCTGGACAAGCAGGATCCTTCAAGATCCGGCGTTCTGACTGACCCCCGCTTGCATTGACCCCCATCTCTTGAGCCCCGACCATCTTGGGTGCCTCTTGGGCCGGTGTTGCGCCCTCTTGGGGCGTGTTCGGGCCCCTCTTGGACGCTTCTTGTGCTGTCTCCGAGCGTCGGGAAGCGCAGCAAGCGGCCACGCGAGAATCAACACAAGCCTGAAACTGCCGCGATTTGGGACTTTGGGGGGCTGTTTCGAAAACGAGTCTGGAGCCCCCTCGGGCCGTCCTGGATGCCTCGTCGGCCACGTCGAAGCCATGGAGCGCGTGCTGGGGCCGTCTTGGAGCCCTGTGGGCCTCCTTTGGGGCTCTTGTGGCGTGCCCAAGCTCATGTGCAAGGCCACCTAGAATCCTCTTGGCAGGCTGTCCCGGCGCCCTCTTGGGATGTCCTCGGGCTCTGTGTGGCGTCTCTGGTTAACGGGCGAAGAACGGTATCACATAAACTTTTTCGCCGTCGGGGACACCTGCCCCAGGGCGGCTGGAAAGTTTATCCCCTTACGGTGGCACCGTAGGGGTATAAACTTTCCAGCCGCCCAGGGACAGGCGCCCCCGACGGCGGAAAAGTTTATTTTATACCGTTCTTCGCTCGCTGATCTTGTGCCGTCTCGGGGCCTCGGGCAGCGGAGCGGGCGACCACACGAAAACCCTTGAAACACCAACAGGGAACCGATGAATCTCGCCCCACGGGGCATCTCTCCGGGATCCGCTTGAAGCTCTCCTGGGGCGTCTTGGAGGCCACGTGAGCCGTCTCGAAGCAATGGTCGGCGTGCCGAAGGCGCTTCGGTGCCCTCTGGCCCGCTTGAGGGCCCGGTGAAGGGGCCTCAGGGCCGCCTTGAGGGCCCTTTTGGAGGGTCCGGTCTCGTTTGGTCGCCCATGCAACACTGGGGCAGCGGTCTGCGCCTCCCTTGGGGCCTACTCATGTGTGTATATTTATATATGTGTATACATATCTGTTTATGTTTATATATTTATATGAAGAAAGAAAGAGAAAGAGAAAGAGAGAGAGAGAGAGAGTGAGAGAGAACAAAAAGAGAGAGAGAGAGAGAGAAAGCCGATCCGACGACACTCGCAATCCGACAGCTGCACACATCCCCCCGACCTCCTGATCACGCGAAATGATCTCAGACGCACACTCAATACGGCTCCCTCCCCCAACAAAAATCATACCCTTTTCCTGGGGCCGACTTTACGGCCCCAGAGGAAGGCAAGAGCCCCAGGGAGCCGAGAGGTGCGAAAAGCTTTGCTGCTTTTGCTTAAGCCTCACAGGTCTCACTTTTGGGCCAGACCTCAGGTCTCCCCAAGGGCTCCAAACTTCGCGCTTCGCGCTGCGCGGAGCGCGAAGTGTGAACAACTTCGCGCTCTCGCGCCGCCTCCCAGGGGAGGGGAGGAGGATGAGGAGGAATCGGAGCCGAACCGCGAAGCGCGAATAACCTCGCGCCCTCGAGGGCGCCCTGGTCTGCCGTGGTCGGTCGGGATGATCTGGGCAACCCTCGGACGCCCTCGACGAGGCGCAGCCGCCGAAGGCACCCCGACGCGAGAAAGCCTCTGGGGGCCGGCAGAGACGCCCGAACGCCTCGAGCCCCGAGCGCCACGAGGGCCTGGGGATGATTACGGCGAACGCCTGCCGTGCCTCTGTGCTGGTGTTCTTGCTGTTGCGGTGGGCCTCTGGGGGGAAGCAAAAGCCAAGGCCGCGTTAACGGCGATGTCGGCTCACGGTGCGGCTGTGGGAATCTGGATTTCGTGACACCGAGCTCACGCAGAACAAGCTGCAGGAAATCACGAAGCACCGTGTCCCCACATGTCAGATGTGCGAATGCATCGCACGAGAACGACACAGCGAGCTGTAGGCAAGCACGAACCACGCGATTCTATAACTGGCTTGGCCACGGACCATGCCTTCCTGCAGTCTGTTCTCATACGCCGCCGTTGGCTGGCAAACCGTCAGCGCGCCTACGGAGAAAAGGAGCGGATGGGCGGGGGACGCCTGCCACAGCTTCACGAGCAGCTCCCGGAGGGCCTCCGCCATCCTCCGGCCGCGGGGGGGGGCACCGCGATGATTCTCGCCGAGACAAACACACGTCCGAGCGATGCCAAGATCGTTTTTGAACGACAATGTAACTGCAGTGAACCCGTACCATAAAGATGTGCGGTAAGGATGCAGGGGCCTTGGAGGCCCACGTGAGCGTTTTCCGAACGAGGTTGCCCAGCGAAAATCGCTGAGGATTGGCCCAAGGGGCGAGGATCTAAGGGCACCCGTGGGAAGCTTGCTCATCCTGATTATGCGGGCTGACTGTAACATCAACATGACTCCTATTTCTCCCCCCGCCTCGCCCCTGGCCTGCCCCTTCTTGCCCTTGCTGTGGTCCTCCTCCACCCCAGGCCCACAAAGGCGCCCACGGGGCACACTAACGAATGGACAAACAGATCCCTGGATGCACCCTCTGTTCCCATGTGTTCTGGCTGTTCGTCTTCCCCTCCGCTCCCCACATCTCATGGCCATGGGAAGCACAAAAACTTCTACGAGATCCGCCGTCGCTGCCGCCGTCGCCGCCAGTGCCGTCCTGGGGACGTCGCTGCCCTGCTGCGCGCCGCAGCTGCTCGCCGCCGGCGGGGCCGTGGAGCCCGTGCTGCCACCGCCAGCGCCCCCGTCGGTCTCCAGCAGGTGCTCGCACACGGGCCTCGCGACCGTCGGATCGTCGTCGTCGTCGTCGTCGTCGTCGTCGTCGTCGTCTTCGTCGTCGGCGTCGTCTAAGTTGCCGTTCTAGTTGTCGAGTTGTCGACCTTCTCCTCGTCGTCGTCGTCGGTCGGTCGGTCGGTCGGTCGGGCTCCGGCAAGAGCATGACTGACAGAACACAACATGGCAGATCAGAGCATGACAGAGCATAACAGAACATGCCAGAGACGACCATACTAGAACAGAAGAAGGTTGTCATGGGTTGTTCCCCACCCGACAAATTTGGGTTGTCAGATTCCCGACGGTATCACCAGCGGCCTAACATGCCTTCCCAAACCCTGCCGCGCAACACGGTGCCAATGGAGCTTCGCCGCACGGACATAACGTGCCATTCGGGGTGCCGGCGCTGCCCAGCTTGCGAGTGGAACCGGAAGGGCACAGGAGCATCACATCGAAGCCAGTGGCAACCATCACAAGGACCTGCGCAACGACGGGGCCAGTGGCTATCCCGACGGGGTGGTATCCCAAATGCCACAGCCCAGAAACAGAATCCTGATAGCGCGATTTCAAGATGGCCCCCAAACGGCCCAAGAGAGGCCCAAGAGGGGCCCAAGAGAACCCCAAGAGGGCCCAAGGAGCGCCCAAGGAGCGGCCCAAGTGGTCCCCAAGACGTAATTTGTGAGCCTCCAACCAAGGGGGTGGGAAAACGGTAAACGCCCATACGCTCGAGTCATGAGCCTCGAGAGGCCTCCCAAACACTTCCAATGAGCCCCAATATGGTCCCAAGACCGCCAAACGAGCCCCAAGAGAGGCCCCAAGACAGCCCCATGAGGCCCCACAGGGTCCCACGAAAACCCCTAAAGTGGCCTCAGTCGTCCGTCAAGAACCGCTCGACAGCTTTGCTCCAAAGCCCGACTTCTCATCCTCCTTGTCATCGTCCGTTCCTTCCCTCGTCCATTCGTGTCTTCTCCCTCCTGCCTCCTCCTCCTCCTCCCCCATCATCCTCCACCTCCTCCTCCTCCTCCTCCTCATGTTGCTCGTGCCGCATTATTCTCCCCTCCTCTTCTTCCCCCCTCCTCCTTCCTTCTGCTTCCTCATCATCCTCCTTCTCTCCTCCTGTTCCTGCCCCCAAGATAGACTCAGGTCGAGTATGGCTTCTGATCGCCTCGGACAAATCTCCAAAAAACCTCAAGACAGCTAAAACATGTCCACGTCAGCTGAGCATGGCTCAGGGTCGCCTCCGACAGCCTCTAGCAGAGCGCGGCTCAAGATACCCTCCAAGAAGCCTCAAGAAAACCTCCGATCGTGTCTGGATGGGCTGGTGGGGATAGTTTTGGTGCGCGGGCGCGCGAAGCGGGTCGAACGCCGGGCGAGCAGGGGCAGGCTGTGCCACCAACTAAGGGAATACCACAGCAGCGGGCATCGCCCGGCGCGGGGCGGAGCTCACCGCGGCCAAAATGGCGCTGAGGCATCACAGAGCGGCAACAGGCTGGTGGGGATACTTTTTCCGATCGCGTCCGCGAACGGGCACCCGCGCGGCGCCGTGAGGTCGTGCGAAGAGACTCGTGGTGATACCTTTGGTCAACAGGCTCGCGAAGCGGGCCGAAAACCGTCCTAATACTAGTCGGGCCGCGACTACGCAGCAGGAAGGCAAGCGAAGCGAACGCGCGGGCAGCCACTCAGAAGGAGAGCCAAAACCGAAAGTCACAAACCCGGTGGCGTGGAAATCCCGGTGACTGGTGGGGATTTTGTCGTCACGGCCACAGGCGAGCGCGCCAGCAGCGTCAGAGGTCGGGCGGGCTACGCGCGAGCCGAATTGCCTAGCGCACGGGGACCGTCAGCCGAACCTAAGCTGCCTAATCTGCCTAAGCTGCTGGGCTGCGCGAGGTGGTGCCAGGAAGCGGGGCAAAGCCCGAAACCTTGCCGGCGGGCGATGCACACTGCAACCAGGACCAGGATTCAGGGGCAGTGCCGGTGCACGAATTTAACCAAGGAGCTATCCGCAGCTAAAATGGCGCGGCAAGGTCACAGACAGTGAAGCTGACAAGTGACCAAAGAGGGCGTGTAGGACTGGTGGGGGCACACGAAGCGTCAAGAATTGCTTGCGTTGGACGCCCGAAATGGGTATGGAAGACATGGGTGCGATGCCCAACAGCAGCTGTTGCCCGAAGCCGACAGCGGCCGCTGCGGCGCAGGCGGCCTGATGTCTCGAACCAGCAAGGCCCGCGGCGGCACCGACAGCGAGCCCTGTCCGAAATGAACAGGTCATGGCGTCGGTGTTCGCATCCATTCTCCCCGTACCCACTTCGATCGTACAGTGAACCCAGATAGTAAGGATGCGCGATGAGGATGCAAGGGCCTCGGACGCCCATTTCGAAGCGTTTCGAGCGGGGCGCGGCCAACGAAAGTGTCCAAGGGTGGACCCAGGAGGCAAGGATGCAAGGGTACCCTTGGGAGGGATGCCTATCCTTACTATGCGGGTCGACTGTACCGACTTGCTCCTCCCCCGCCTACCCCGCAGACTGCCCTCTGGTGAAGATTTCGGCCAGCTCATGCTCCCGGCCGCGGGGCCCGATGCACCATGTTCTCAACCCCTGAGCCTCAGATTCTTGAGCATGGCAAGGCCGTGTTCTTTCCACCGTCTCCAGAGATCCGGACCGTGACCACGAAGACGGCAAAACCACAACACGGCTCGCCGCAACGGAAACGACCACGGCTCCGGGATCGGAACGAGCCCCCGGGAAGCGAGGACGCAGCGGCGACGGAACCGGAAGCAGACTGCCGAGCGAGTGGCAGAGACGGCCCCGCCGCTGCCAGAAGGACCACGCACGCCCTGGGTCCAGGCGCTGCCCCTGGCCGTCGCTCGGACGTCCATTTCCCGACCATGCTTCGGTTTCGTGCGTGCTTTTTTCGCTCGATGCTCCAGGATGCTGCTCTAAAGGGTCCTCGCCGAGAAACAAGCACACGTCCGAGCGAGGCCACGGGCCCCAGGCGCTGCCCCTGGCTGGCGCCCTGCCTCCTCCTCCTCGCTCCCCTCCCCGCCCTCGGGCGCGGCGGGGCGCGCGTGGGCACCGCGCGGCGGGCACACGCTGGTCGGAAGAGGTAAGTGAAGACAGGGAGTGTGGAGGGCAGAGCATCCCCCCCTAATATTACCAGCCTGGAACATATCCCTATCCCTATGCTGGGCACCTCCTCATCACGATGCCAATCTTAGGGATTCCCTTATTTTTCGAGGGCGAATCCCTTCATCGCCTTTTGGCGTGTCAATATTAGGGATAGGGATACGTTCGAGGCTGGTAATAAGAATCACCCCGACAAGCGAAGCCGTTTAGTAAACGCACCCATGGAAGGAATCCAACAGGGCAGGGCTTTGAAGAAACGCCCAGGGCCGTTTCGCAAACGCCAATTGTCCGGTCCGGGTGGTTTTCCCTCCCTTGAAAGTGGGGGGGGGTCAAGTACAGTCATGAGGAACGACAAATAAGAAACGGCGCCCCTTTTTTGTCCAAGCAAGTCCACGAAGTCCGAAGGAACGGCCAACCCGCGCGTCCAAAATCTGAAGGAACACCGGGGGGCTCGCCGCCAAAAAGGTAGCGGCACGCATGCAAACCTAAGGAACGACCGAGCCCCTTTTGAACAACAAGTGTTCCTTGTTCAAGCCGCTCACTGCAGGTTGGGTACAGGCCCTCCAGGATAATATCAAAACCTGGCAAAGGCAGATCGGTTCCTGAAGTTGGAAGGCGCTTGAACCGGATTGGGACCTGGGAGTCTGGAAGCGCCTACTTTCAACTTCGGCGCGCGTAGGGGGAGCCTGAGGTGCATCAGGCACTGGAGCCCGGAGTTCAGCCAGCACGTGTTCTTGAGGTTCACGAGCCCCACGCAGCCGCCGCCCCTGCCCCGCACACAGGGCGCAGCAGGAGCCCGCAGGGGGGGAGGGGGCCCCGAGGCAAGTCGGCGGGCGGGGCAGGAGAACTCTGAGGGGCCCAGGATGGCTCCCGAGAGGGCCAAGGACGGCCCCGGGAGAGGCCCCGTCGCGCATCTGGGCCCGACGTCGGGCCTCTGGACGCACGCCTGGCCAAGGCCCCAGATCCGTCAGGGAACGGCCCGGGATTGGAGGCCTCCCACGTGGTCGAGCAGGGACCGACCGTCGTCCCGGCATTCCTAGAGGCCTACCACGACATGTTCTTAGAACCCAAGGTCGTCCAAATGACAAAAGCAATGCTCTCAGATCAGAAAAAACCCATGTGTTGAACCACGGCAGCCCCAGCCAGGAATGATCTAGGAACAGTTCCTGGAGACCACAGAAGGTTCTCAGAACATTGTTTGGTAGGCCTATAAGCCTCAGTGGGCCCCAGAAACGGCAGGGCCGTTTTTTCACCGTTTCCGAACAAGTGTCCCTCGAAAATGGAAACGGCGAAAAACGGCGACCGGAAACGGCAACAAGAACGGCTCCAGGAGTGGAACCGGAGCGGGAACCCGCAAAAGAACAGCGACGGAACCGGCAACAGAAACGGCGTCGGAACATGCAACAAAAACGGCCCTGTCGCTTCCAGGGCCCACCGAGCTTCAGGCACGCCAGGACGCTTCGCCGCTGCTCGACCTGGGGGCCCCGACCGCACGGGGGGCCCACGGCAGGGGGGGGGGGGCAGGACATCGCAGGCAGCGGGGCGGCCGACCGCACCCGCCGCGGAGGTCTCGGCCGACCCGCTGCGGGCCGACCCCGAAGAGGACAGGGAGGAGGAGGAGAGGAGAGGACGACGACAAGGAGGAGGAGGAGCAGGAGGACGACGACGACGACGAGGAGGAGGACGAGGAGGAGGAGGAGGAGGACGAGGAGGAGGAGGAGGACCATGAGGGGGAGGGGGAGGGGGAGGGCGAGGCTCGAGGGAGAGAGGTCGAGGGTCGAGGTGCGACGTATCAGCAGGCTGTTGTTTTGGTCCGAAGCCTCCAGGAGGCTTCTCGCCGTCGCGGCTGGACGATGCCCTCGAGCGCCCGGCCAGGATGCACCCACGGGGGGGACAGCAGGGGCGGAGGAGGGTGAAGGGGCCCAGGGACACACACACACATAGATAGACACACATCCCTCTAGCTTCCCATGTGTTCTGGAGTGTGGTTTTCCCCCCCACTTCCCATATCTTCCCTTATGTTCCTGGGGATCGACGATGAAGGTGTGTCTGTGTGTGTTTTCCCCTCCTGAGAAGGGGGATGGTACAAGGACTTGGGGAGGACAGCGCCCCGATCCCCGCGATTCCTTCGATCCCCTCGAGATCCTCGGGGGGGTAGGAGAGGGAGGAAGGCGAGGAGGGGATGGGAGAGGGGTCGGGCTCGGACTTGACGGGGGTGGAGAAGGAAGACGCGCGCGGGAAGAGGACAGACTCGAATGAGGATGCATCGGGGACGTCTGCTGGGAACTGGCGGTCCTGGAGAATGTGACCAGGATGTGTCTCATCAGGCGGAACAGCGACGGAGGCGTGAAGGGGAAGGAGAGGGAGGAAAGCGAGGAGGAGGAGGTGGAAGAGGGGGCCGGGCTCGGATTTGACAGAGGTGGACAAAAAGGAAGACGATCGCGGGAAGAGGACAAACTCGGATGAGGATGCATCGGGGATGTTTGCTGGGAACCGACGACGGCACGAGGCAACGACGGGGCAGTGCCGACAACGAAACGGCGGACCCGACAAACGAGCTCAGACGACGGGAGGCGACGAGGAAGCGACGGGGCGGCGACGGCGGCAACAAGGCAACGGACCCGACAAACGAGTCCAATTCTTCTGGAAACGCAAAAAAAGAAAATCCCTAACAGAAACTGCTGGTTGGGGGAAATGGTGATCCGTGTAGCGCACGGCGGGGCGCCACATTTTTGCAGTGTCTCCCTGTTCGACGTCGGGCTTCGATGTCGTGGCTTCGTGTTTGAGTCGGGAGAGGACCGAGAGGGCGCAGGGAGGTCATTGCATCCCAAACTTGTTTGCACTGGTGTTGTTTGCTTGTTTGCACTTGGGGGTTCTCGCTTGCTCCCCAAATCCTGCGCTTGCACTTAAGGGCTCTCGCTCCCCAAGCAATGTGTGTTGTCCTTAGGGGTTCTCACTCTGTCTTCCACAAGGCTCGGTCTGAGGGCCGCTCTGGCCGCCATGGCCGCCGTCGCCGCCTCGTCACCGCCCGTTCCCTGGGCCTGCAGGCCGCTCTGGCCGCCATGTGGCCGCCGTCGCCGCCTAGTCACCGACCGTCGCCGCCCGTCGCCTAGGCCTGCGGGCCGCTCTGGCCGCCATGCGGTCGCCACCGCCGCCTCATCGCCACCCGCCGCCTCGTCGCCTCCCGCGTTACGTGTCTCCGAACTGCTTTGCATTGCATTGCATTGCATTGCTTCGCATTCGTTTGCGTTAGACATTGTGCACCGCATGGAAAACACTGTATAGATTGCACCGGTTAGATTGCACCGCAAAGCCACGCTGGCTAACAAAGAAATCGAATTTTGACTCGGGTTACTCGTCGGTGAGGGGGCAGTATCACTCCGCCATGGTCAACAAGGGTCCCTCATTTTTATATAACGGACCTGGTTTGATGGATGAATTCGGGCAACTCGTCGCAGGGAGGAAGGGACCATCATGGAATGACCAACTGGAGCTGATGGTCCTCGAATCGTGGATCGGGCTTGCTTGTTAAACGTAGGTGATTCGCGTGGGACTTGGGCGGACCCCTGTCATTCCAGATTCATCATGAAAAAATGTGGTTATGCTCGAATGATGGTTTGGAACTGATTAGCATATCCCGGTTTATCGCCAGAGATGGAGAGGAGGGTGGGCGGAGACCGAAACTCATTATCCCGACCAAAGTCCATGCCTAAAAAGAATCAACACACGCGGTCGAATAATCCCTGGAAGTAATAGCCTGGGCTGTGCCGTTCCGCGGAGCTTGCGAAATGGGATTTATCATTCAGGCGGGTGATGCGCAAGGGGCGATTTGTCACAGGGAACCGACACGGCGCAAAGCTTCAAAGGGAGGGAACGGAGAAAGATAAGTAGAATATGTCAAATATCATCTACTGTTGTTCTGCCAATAGTTTAGTTAATTGAGACGGGGATCGCTATTCCCATGTGGTTAGCGGCTTTGGGGTTTACCGACCGCATCTACTGTTCCTGGAGAAGAATGGATTGCAATTGATTGTTCTGGGGGTGATGGACAGGGCCCCCATACCGCTACGGAAATAGAACCCAAGATGTAGTGTTCCCAGAGAATGCCGATCGGGTACATTACTGTCACGGATTCAGAGACCTCCTTCCTCGGAATCGTTAGGGACTCATTACTCCCAAGGAGGACCGTGCAGGGCTCAACGGAAATTATTATCGATGGGAAACAAACGACTGGAATCTATCATTCCTGCAGAATCGCGGACAAGGGTCAATTATTCTCTGGGAGCAACGTACAAAATACCGTAATCCCACCAGCCCTCTGGGCGTAGGTGGTTTAGGGAGTTCCGTCTTCCAACCTCCTTCTTCCCCTTCGGGAACGGGTTTACCCCTCCCCCTCCCCCGACCCCCTCCCCTGGACCTGGACGTGGGGTTTCGCGAGGTGTCAGGGCGTCCAGAACAGCCTCTGCGAGGAAGCCAAAATCATTGGTTGTACCAAGGTTTTGGCCATATGTTGGTCTCCTCAGGGGGGGACCCATATTAGGGACCCCCCTTCCGGTGATCAATATCACCCAAGATGGCCCAACGATAGCACGCGAGGCCCCCAAGGGTGCCCCAAGAGGGCCCCAAGAGGTGGCCAGGAAGCCCCAAGAGGCCCCCAGGATGACCCCAAGAGGCTTCCAAGAGAGCTCCAAGAGGCCCCAAGAGACCCCCCAGAGGCACCCAAGATGATCCAGGAGGCCTCAGCGAGAATGCCAAATCTTTGATTTTTTCAAGGAATTGGCCACATGTTGGCCTCTGGGGGGGGGGGCACTGATCAAGATGACTCCCAGAGCGCCTGGGAGAGCCCAAGATGACCTGCAATATGGCTCAAGATATCTCAAGATGTCCCATAATGGCTCCCACGATGCTCCAAGATGCCCCGAGACCGATCCAAGACGGCCCCAAGTGGCCAAAGAGCTCCCCCAGGAGGCCCCGAAGAGGCCAAAACCTTAGGAACGTCTATGTGTTTGGCTTTCTCGCCTTTTCGCTTCCGATGGCCATCCGAGGCCGCAAGATGGCTCCAAGATGGCCCAAGAGGGCTCCAAGAGAGGCTCAAGAGAGCCCCAAGACGGCCCCAAGAGCGCCTGAGAGCGCTCCAAGAGCGCCCCAAGAGCGCCCCAAGAGGCGATTTTTGGGGCTCCAGAGGGGCAACGCAAACTAATGTTCGCTGCTTGTTTGATCGATGTCCTGCAAGATGGCCCCAAGTGCGCTCTCAAGGCACCCAAGAGCGCTTCAAGAGGGCTCCAAGAGGTGCCCAGGAGGCCCCAACAGGCGCCCAAGAGGCCTCCAAGATGCTCCCAGGAGACGCTCTCCGAGGCACCCAAGACGCTCCAAGAGGCCTCCACTGGGGGACCCTTCCTCTGTGTGCTGCCCACTTCCCTGATCGAGGCAATTCCTCTGGGCATCGATTCTGGATGGGCTGGTGAGGTTACTTTTTGCTCGGCGGCTCCGAGGCGGCGGACAGGGAGCGGTAGGCGTCGTCTGGGCCAGCAGGCGAAGCCAATTAGCTACAACAGGCAATGCACCTGCAATAATACCCCGCAGTACGCGAGTATGCACATGCAGAAAGCAAAATGCTCGATTATGGCTGGTGTGGTTACTTTTCTTTCTTTCTTTTTTACAGCCGCAGGCGGAAGCGCCGGCGGCGGGCGGTCGCGGGCGGGCTGCGGCCGCGACTAGCGGCGGGCGCGCGCGAAGCCGCGGTCAGGCGGCAGGCAGCAGCTACCCAGGGCGGCTGGTGTGGTTACGCGAAACGTCTAGAATTCCTCAAGAAATACCTTGCAAAACCCATGATTCTAGAATGTTGAACCATTGACGGACATTCCGGAATGATACTCCGAAGGCTTACAATCAACTGAGTCACAACATTTTGCCGCATTCTGAAAGCAAGTTCAAGTCTCCTATCTCCACTCTATGCCCATATACCACTGAGTCTTCGAACGCCTATAGTGGCATCGCTTCTTAGAATCGTGTAGGTTTCGGGGCTGATCCTTCTTCCACTCGCATTGGCTGCGAATACTAATGAGTAGTTTCGCCCACTTCGAAAAACATGGTGCGCCTCACCACGGAATGTGCAACAGCCCCTAAGATCGACCAACTCACTGTATGCGTCGAATGCTTCTGCTTCCGAAATCTTGGCCGAACCAAATTTGACTGTCCCAGTTCCAACCTGTGGACAGTGTTCAAGCATGCGTTCGATAGCCCTTGATTCGCAGTATGTTTCTGTAG